CACGATGATGGTGTGTGCTAGAAAGTAGTGTCTGAGCCTCCTCGCAGCGTTGACGAGGGCCAGAGCAACCTTTTCTATCTGTTGATACCTGCTCTCGGGGCCTTGTAAGGCTTTGCTCGTGAAGTAGACAGGTTTCTGCCCGTCAGGAGTCTCGCGGACAAGAGCTGCACTGATGGCTTCGTTTGATACTGCCAAGTATAGATATAGTGGCTCGTCGTCATCTGGTCGAGACAACACGGGCGGTTGAGACAGGCTCTGCTTCAGATGGCAAAGTGCGTGTTCGCATTCCTCGGTCCATTCGAAGGCTGCTTCCTTTCGAAGGAGTTTGAAAAAGGGAAGGGCGTGCTGAGCGGACTTCGCGACGAAGCGTGATAGTGACGTCAACATGCCGTTCATGATCTGGATCGACTTCTTCGACGTTGGAGTCGGGAGGTCGGCGAATGCTCGACACTTGTCGGGGTTGGCTTCAATCCCTCGTTCTGTTAGATAGAATCCGAGGAATTTTCCTGCCTTGACCCCAAACGTGCACTTCTCGGGGTTGAACCTCATTTTGCATTGTCTTGCTTGGGCGAAGACAGTCTTGAGATGAGCTGCGTGATCGGTGTCTGCTCGAGATTTGACGATCATGTCGTCCATGTATACCTCGAGCATGTCGCCGATTTGTTTGTTGAACACTTTGTTCATCATGCGTTGGTACGTCGCGCCGACGTTCTTTAGTCCGAAGGGCATTACATTGTAGTAATAGTTGCCCGAGCTGGTCATGAACGCCGTGCAGCGTTTGTCGCCCAGGGCCATTGGGATTTGATTGTATCCCGAGTAGGCGTCCATGAACGACAAAGTCTTGTAGCCGGCCGAGTTGTCGACCAGCATGTCGATGTTAGGTAGAGGAAAAGCATCCTTCGGGCAAGCCCGGTTGAGGTCGGTATAGTCAACACACATTCTCCATTTTCCATTATTCTTTTTGACAAGTACAACATTTGACAGCCAGGTGGAATACCGGGCTTCAGAAATAAAATTTGCCTCTAAGAGGTCTTTTACAGCTTTTTCAGCAGCCTCCGTTTTTTCTGGAGACTGCCTACGCCTACGTTGTACTACGGCCTTGGCGGCTGGATCAATGGCGAGGTGATGACAGGCGACCTCAGGGTCGAGTCCGGGCATCTCTGCAGTGCTCCAGGCGAAGAGATCGGCATTCTCGCGCAGACAGGCCTTGATTTGCTTCCTGGCCAAGTCGGGGAGGTCCTTCCCAATCTTCACTCCCTTGGTCGGGTCTGCTCCGAGGGGAACGAGTTCGAAATCACCGTCCGGAATAGGTCGGAGGGGGATTTGCTCGCTGCTGGCCGGCTCGTCTTGGTCGAAGCGGGCGTCGAGGGCTATGGAGTCGACCTTTGGTGGAGCCTTCTGAACTTCTACCTCGGGAGATGCTCTGTCGGGCTCTTGCTTTGTCTTCTTGATGGGCCTTGTGCTGGGACCCACGTCGACAGTATCCCGTCCGCTTGAAGCGGCGTTGAAGCACCTGCGGGCAGCAGCGAGGTCGCCCTGGATGGTGGCTACCCTCGCCCTCTTGGTATAGAACTTCATTTTTAGATGGACAGTTGAGGGGACCGCTGTCAGCTCCGCCAATGTCGGCCTCCCCAAGATGCAATTGTACAGGGACGGGCAGTCAATGACGAGGAAGCGGACCTTCACCTGTCTTGTAGCAGTTCCTTCCCCGAATTTCACGAGGAGCTCGACATATCCCCAAGGTTTGGACGTCGAGCCGTTGAAGCCTTGAAGGTCCGAACCTATATATGGAGACAGATGTGAGTCGTCCAGTTGTAAGGTCCGGAACAGCTGGGTGTACATCACGTCGACGGAACTCCCTTCGTCGACCAGGATGCGATGCACGTCAAAATTGGCCATCTTTGCCCTTATCAGCAAGGGGATGACTGCGTTCGGTGCTCCGCCGGGGAGCTCTTCCAAGTAGAAGGTGATAGGCTCTGATCTGCCCCTCACCATTTCGAAAGTCACAGTTTGTGGAGGAGCTTTGTCGACCAGTTCGTCTAACTTCCTCTTGGCCGAGTTGATGGTGAGGTCGTTGAACCCGCCCCCGTTGATGACCATGGCGGAGGGGAAGTATTCCCACCTGCTGTGTGTAGTCAGGGGCTCCTGCAGGAGCTTGGGAAGTTCGAAATCCTCGGGCCTGGTTACCGAGAAGGCGGTCTGGATTGGCACCGACTCGTCAGATGGTCGGGCATCTTCTTCGGGCTCCTTTGCCTCGCGGGCGTCACGACGGGGAGCGTCGTTTCGCCTGTACTGTGCAAGCCTCCCTCCTTTGATGAGGGTTTCAATGGCATCCTTCAGGTGGACGCAGTCCTCTGTCAAGTGACCATGACTCCTATGGTACTGACAGTACTTGTTTTTGTCTACTCCTGGCTTGGCAGGAGCTGGTCGGGGACGCTTGACGCCACCGTCTTTAAAATCTGTGCTAGCACACTCCGCCAAAATACGCTCGCGGGAAGCCGTGAGCGGAGTGTACTCAGTAAACCTGCCCGAGGGGCCCCTTTGTTCCCGGACCTCCCGGGGTCTATCTTCCTTCCTCTTTTCTCCGGTCCGTCGGGGAGGAGGGTCTTGTCTCGAGCTGCTGCCATGATTGCGAGCCCTGGAGTCTCGTGCCCTGTTGGCAGCTTCTCTCTCCTCGTAGTCCATGTATGCTCGGGCTTTGTCGAGGAGAGCATCGAAAGTTGCAGGTGGCTCAATACCCACAGCTTTTCTGAATTCTGTGCCGGGGAGGAGGCCCCTCTCCAGCAAGTACCTTTTCATATGGTCCGCGCAGGGGACCTGTATTGCTTCCCGGTTGAAGCGGTTGATGAATTCCCTCAAGGTCTCATCATGTCTTTGGATGATGGCCTCGAGGGCTGCTTCGGTCTTCGGGTGGCGACGAGAAGCTGTGAAGGAACTGATGAACTGGTTCTTCAAGTTCCGCCACGAGGTGATGGAGCCCGGGGCGAGTCCTTTGTACCAGTCCATGGCCGCCTTCCTGAGAGTTGTGGGGAAGAGACGGCACTTGATGGGGCCCCCGACATTGTGATAGTGGAGCATGGCCTCGAACCCGTCAATGTGGTCGACTGGGTCTGCCACTCCATCATACTCCTTCAGATGTGGGGGCTTCTCCATGCCCGGGGGAATGGGTGCGTCCATGATGGCCTGCGACAGGGGACCGCGGGGGTCGTCCTCGTCGCTCCTTTCTGGAGAAAGAGAAGGGGTCCTGTAGTGATGTCTGGCACGCTGGTCGTGCTGAGATTCCCTCGAGCGTGATGCTCGGTGGTTGAAGGTCACACGCCCGTCTCTGTTGTGCCTCCTGTCGTGCCTTGATGGGTCGCGACTGGGCTCTTCGGTAGGGATGACGGGCTGTCTTTCATATTAGGGGCGCCTCTGCCTTGGTGGGGGAGAGGGGCTCCTAGAGTTCTCCCTGTAATGTCTCCGCGGGGGAGTAGGGTGTCGAACTTCTTCGACCCGAGGAGGTGGAGATGGTGGCCTTTGATGTCTCCTCGGGGGGCGTCGATCATTTTCAAGTGCCCTTAGTCTTTCTCCTTGGGCAAATAGGAGATAATTTGTTTGGTTGATGGCCGCGAACAGTGCCTGAGTCGTGGCATCTGCCCCGGCAGGAACTGGGACTTCATGGAACCGGGCAGCTCTGCGGTAGGCGAGGGCTTCCGGGTCGTCTTCGAGTCTTGGAGGAGTTGTCGAGGAGGACGCAGTGTTCCCGTCCCTGCGGGTGGAAGGTCCAGGGGCGGTTGTCACGGGGACGACATTGTGGCCGGCATCACTGGGATTGTCCAGGTGCCCATTCTTGTCCGCGGGACCGTTGTTGGTGTCGAGGACGCGGGTGTGCTGTTCTTCACGAGCTGGACCAGCCATGACAGTGAATGGATTGAGCTTTGGTCTTTGGAATTGTTCGTTAGACGGGGAAGCTGCTTCCCACAGACGGCGCCACTGATCTGACCTGATCAGAAGGTTTGGACCGTCACGGCTTACTCCGAGCTGAAGGCTTTTTGAACGAGGAGGGGGGGGGGGGGGGGTACCTGCAAGGCACTCCGATGCTAAAGTCAGTGGGAGTACGAGCAGATAATAGAGTTGAGGTTAGAATGATCAATACCTGACCCTCTGGAAACAGAGGGTATTTATAGCCCCCAACGCTGGGCCAAGGTTCCTTCATTGGGCCGGGCGGATTTGGCCCAATGGAGGAACTGCCAGGTTCTACGTGGGTAGTGGGGACCAGCACGTGGTCCCCTTCCTGGATGTGCTGCGTGAAGTGCGGGCGGACAGAGACGCGGTCTTTCCGGAATATCGTTGGGGCAACGGTGGACTGAGTCTGCCCTAGCCAGGTAGCTCGAGATCATGTCGAGCTGCGCTGCACGGTGCCGAGCTCGACGCCAAGACCTCGAGCTGAACAGCGAGTGTCGAGCTGGACGTCAGGACACAGAGTCGGACGGCAGGGTGTCGAGCATGACTTCACTGCGTGGGGCTGGACATTGAGATGTCGAGGTGGACATCAGGGTGTCGGGCATGGACGCGACCCCCTTTGCCCAGTGTGGTCCTTAGTGAGTCATTTTGGACTGGGCCTTAGTAATGCTTTTGGGCCTGTCGGGCCCAGTCCAGAACAATTATTGTAGTAACTTTTTGATGAAATTTTTATCAATAATCACCTACACAATATTATACTCACATATCTTTTTCCCAGTTTCTAAACTTTTGTTTCGTACTTTATCTCCAATGCTCAAGAAAAAATTGTGTACCCGTACCATCTTTTCTTATTTTAAATTAAACATTCCTCAATATTAATTATTTCCACTTAAATTCTAACGCATTTTTTACTTATTAAATACCATAGTATATTTCACGACACAATAAAACAAGTCACCAGTAACATTAAATAATTCACTTATCCCACCTTTACAAAATTTCTCCTTTTTATGGAATATATCTCATTTCTTTATGCCATTTGACAAAAAAATGTTTTCTTAGAAAATCTTATTTCTTTGAGTCGAATTTTTTCCAAAAAAAAACTCTTTCATATTTTTTTTATAACAAAAATCACCTTCAATTTCACACAAGCAGCATCCACATAACAGAATCACCAATGGAATATGTTGACAGCAACAAAAACTATTTTTTATAAAACTCTGAAACATCTTTAATAAAACAACTTCCTGACACCAATTTCTTTTGTAAATATTCATACAAATCATTTTCTAAACACTGCATAACTTGTTTGTTTTTAACACATAACCATAAACTTCTACCCTAAACAATCCATAACAGTAACAGGCTCGTAACACAAAGTAGAATTAAAAAAAATTACAATTATCACCTTTTTGTTTGTTTGTTGTTATCGTAAAAATCAACAGTAAAACAGAGTACCGATCGAAAACCGCAAAGAAGAAGAATTTGGGACAACGATAACGTGGCTACTGAAACAACATATCCGAAAAGAACCGCAACTCAATTCGCGACCAGCCCTCATCCGCACAGTGCCGGACCGACGACGAAGCTCTGCCCCCATTCAAATCCGCCACCGCAACATCTGCGGTCAGCTGCCGCTTAACCATACCACGAACTGCTCCCCAAACTGCCGATCCACCCACTTACAGCGATGAGACCGCAGCGACCAATCAGCCACCACCGGCCGACAGCTCACATCCATCGTGCAAATCCGATCTCCGCCAATAGAGGGTTATATGCTCTCACCCTTTGTACTTTCATCTTTTATTTTGTTATGTTGAGTGATTGGTTAGAAGAATTGAGAAGAGTGGTGGCACATAGATGAGAAAGTGTGGAACGAAGAAAAATGAGTTTTTGATATTGTTTACTTCTTGTTCCATATGGTGTTATTGTTTTTTTTATGATTTAAACAAAGCCACGTGTCAGAAGCTGTGTGGTTGGAATGTCCTCTTTGACCATGATCAAAACTTTCTCTAACAATCGGTCTGCTCCAATCCTCATAGCATGTTTTTTTTTTACTTTTTTTTGTTAAATACTAATATTAGAGTTTGTATGGTTTCACGTTGGGCCTTGGCCTTAAAATTCTCTACTCTTTTACTAACTCCACACCTTCTATTTTATTTAGCACCCCCTTTCTTTTAGTTGTATTAATTAGACTATTTAATTATTAGAATTTTAATGTAATTAAATTTATTTATTAATTAGACGAATTTTTTGTTTAATCAAACAAAGCAGTTTCCTTTTAACTAAATGTTTTTATCAAATTAAATTTTACGAGGATATTAAAAACCATAATTCACCAATGTGCGACACGTGGTCAATATCTGGCCACATCATGAGGAGACTATATCAGACTCCCCCGTTCCAGGTCTTAATCAAATCAAATACTAAAATAGTTAACCAACCATCAAATCATTTTCTACTAACTTAAAAAAAAACCAAGATGTTTTCGAAAATGGATTAAGGAGAGTTGTTATCGAAATTAACAGCGAACTACGTCTACGATCACCTACCTTTCAAACCCAGACAAGGTTCAATGATAAATTCGAAAGAAATACTACGCAATCCTCTAAAAAACACCAACCTACCGTGAACTACGAAATGAGACTCTGATTCCTCCAAAGAGTATACGTAGGCATACGATTAAAATAGTGGTGATTCTCCCTAATTAAAAACAAACCCTTTTCCCCTAATAAACATAAAACCATATTTCCTAAAATTACGCTTCTAAACCTAGTATCCTTGTGAACAAGGTAAATATGGGGTGCCTAACCCCTTCCCCTCGTCTAAAACCAAGTTCAAATCTAGAATCTCTGAATTTTAGGGTTATTTCTTTATATTCTCATCCTTTAGGATAAAAATTAAGGGTGGCGACTTTGACTTAAAAACCAGTTACAACAAGACGCAACCACTTGAATTTTTACACTCTTGATACCACTTTCAACATGTTACCTAGTTAGAATCAGCTCAGTAAAACAAGTTGAGGAACTTCCAATCACATGGTTAAAGAGTGGACCTTTTAAAGTGCCCATAAACATATCAACCAGCTCCCTATCAGATAAGGGAGGTTGCACTCTTCCATCCAGATCTTTCCACTTTTAGGCATACTCCTTAAACCCTTCATGAGAGCCCATGGTCATGTTTTGTAATTGCACGCGAGTTGGTGCAAGATTAGCATTGTATTGATACTGCTTGTAAAAAGAAGCAACAAAATCTTCCCAAGTATGGAGGTTGGTTCCTTTCAGCTGATAGAACCCCTTGAGTTGTGTACCGGACAAACTTTCCTGAAAGAAGTGAACCCATAACTTTCTGTCAGCAGTATGGGGTTGGATCTTCCGAATATAGGGCCTCAGATGAAGTTTCAGACAAGAAAAACCATCATATTTAGCAAAAGCGGGGACCTTGAGCTTGTGAGGGATAACTACCCCCGGAATAAGACCCAGCTCTTCGAGATCCAATCCAGGCACTTTCTAGATTTCCATGGCCTTGAGGCGATCTTCCAACAGTTTGTGTCTATCATCAACATGAGGATACTGTTCATCAGAATAATCTTCGTCCTCAGAAAATTTCTCAGAACCCTAGTTGCTTCCACCTTCAACCTTAACACTTCTAGCGTCTTCCTCTTGATTTCTATCTTCATCAGAGGAGATATCAGTAGTTTGAACCGGTTTAGCGGTACCTTTGGACCTTCTCCCCATATTGACGATAACAATTGGCTTTCGAGTCTTCTCCTTTTTGGAGATGAGCTCCATCATATCTTGTATGAAAACATAAAATACCAGAGGCAGGGATCGAATCCATGCCCCTGGTATACTAAGGCCTTATTTGCATGCTTCTACCGCTGGGGCGGCTATACACCCGTTGATTAAAATACAAACAAATTATTATATAATAAAGAAGGATTTTATTTTTAATTTAAAACAAACCAGACGCAATGGGGGCAGGGATCATTTAAATGCACCAATCAAGAGACTCCATTGTGCCACACCATTGGTCAACCTTTCAAACCACAACGTGTGGCATTTTCCACCGTCTTCTCCGGTGAGAAGATTTTCCTAACCTGCGAAACATGCAAAATCAAAGCCAACTAAACACCCTATTCCCCTTAAAATTTCCCCAGGAATCCAATTGTGCCCTTCTTTTTGGCTAAAGATCCTTGTATCATGAGTTTCGAAGCAATCTGTTCTTAATGCCCTAACAATGGCAATCATGTATTCCTGCGTCAAAGCTTGAAAAAAGTGGTTCTAAAAAATCAAAAACATCAGCATGAACGTGTATATATGAATTAATTCAATTTAAGTCGCATGGTTTAAAATTTTGGTTTCACGAAACCTTACCCAATCGGCGTGCTTGAAAGAGGGAGTTCTGGCGTGCTTCAGGCTTGAGCAAGGGTATGGATCACCTCCTGGGAATTTCAGGAACACGCTTGGATGCCTGGAATTAATTGACAAGGGTTGGAGATAAGAGTTTGACTTTTCCCTAATTCTTTGAAATTTTGAGAATTTTGCTAGGGGTTTTTGAGGTAGCTTTTGCGCGTCCTTTGCATCTGGTAATGTTAGTTATATATAGAACAATCAAATTAGGTTAATAAAAAGTAGCACGAATCATGTCATTAAGAGGTGAATATTTTGATTGAAAATTTGCATGGAAACATACTATTTTTGGCTCAATCTTTCACTAATCAACCTTGCATGAATTTGACAGCTTGCACATGTAATCTTGGGCCTTAAATATGATCCATAGCAAAGCCCACATGTCTTAACCTATTGATCTTATATTTTATTTTATTTATTTTGAGTTTAATTGAATAAAAATCAAAACAAATAAAATAAAAATAAAAGATAATGCATGAATGGACTTATGGGTCTTTAAAAATATCATGAACATGTTTGGATCTGAAAACTTAGGCCCAATAGCCCAAAATTAAAAAATTTGCTCAATTTGGAATTCATGCATCCTTTCAAAATTTCCCAACTTGCAATGCCATAACTCTCTCAATTTTCATCTTTTGAAGATGATATTTGAATTTTTGGAAAGCTCAAGATGTCCTATACGGTTTATCTTTCAATCATTTTTGCATTTGGAGACTTTATCTTAATGTAAGTTGCCTTGACAAAAAGTGTCTTTTTGTTGACTTTTGGAATGACATGTAATATATTGACCCATGTCTCTTAAATGAAGCACTTTTTTGACTTGAGCTTAGATATTCAAAGTTATAGAGAATTGAATTTACTTTAAAATTGGCTTTGGTTGGGCCAAAGTTGATGAATCATTTGAAAGTTATGCCTGGTCAAAGTTCAGTTGACTTCTCCTAAGGAAACCCTAATTTGGCAACTTTTGACTTTTGATGATTTGAGGGATCTTCTTGAGGAATCATGATCAACCCTTGATAAAATGATGAACATGTCTTAAAAATGTTGAAGTTGACCTAAAATATTAAGGTTTGACTGTATGTTGACCACAGTTGATTTTTTACCCAATAAAGTTGATTTTTGGTCATCTGAGCAATTGACTGAGCAAACTTGTGATGCAAGGCATGAAACTTGATATGAGAATTCTTAAGGAAATATGAAGAACCATGAAAACCAATTGAGACCTTGGAAACCCTATCTTCCTTGAGGAATACAAAACCCTAGTTGTGGACCCAATTCTTAGGCAACCTTGAGTAAATGAGGACCTTAGGAGAATTTCTTGAAGAAAAATGGGAGGAAAATTTTTGGGGTACAACAACTACCCTTGTTCAATATTCTTTAACCTGAAGAGTTAGATTTCCATGTCCTCCATTCGTGACTTGAAAGTATAAGATGATTGAACACTTAAGTGCCCAGAAATTTGCACTCGCGTGTGCAGGTGGTAATGTTGTTGGTTGACAATATTGCTTGAATGGCCTTAAAGATGTCATTCGGAGAGGTGACCGAGAGTCGTCGGGGATGGGATTAAAGATTCCATCCAAAGTTATCATTAATAGAAGAATCAAAAGGAGTCTACACTTGACTTCATCTGAAGAATGCTTTCCAAAATGAACCTCTGGGGAAGGTGTTTGAGTAGTTGCTTGTCTGATTTAGTCTTTGAGGGAAGTGTTTGTCAGATTTATTTTCTGAAATAAATGCTTGTCTTGTAGATAGTAGCCCCGTCCTGTTTTGGGAATTGATATACAATCTATTTTTTTTGGTAAACACGTCTTGTTTCAAGAATTTATATCACCTTGGTGATAAAGATAGTCGCCCCATCCTGTTTCGGGAATTGA